TGAAGTCACAGGCAATTTTCAGCCAGCGCCGGATATAAACCTAACTTTTATGCATCAGGAAACAGCAACAGCAAAATCCATGTGACTTGCGCTATTTTGATAGTCTAGAACCAAACCAGTATTTCTAAGGTACTGGAGATATCTTTCTTTGTGAGGTTGGAGGAAAAGAGCCCAGGAATTGGAAGGTTCTTCCTTTGGAAGGTGTCAAATGTAAACACAATTGTGGACCACCCCAGGAAGTGTGCCAGCTTTAGTTGAGGGGCCTCGAACCTTCTCCTTACCCATTGTATGACTCTCAGTCAGAGAAGCAGCTGGATATGACCAAGGGAGAAACAATTACTGGAAGCCCCACAGGCTTGCTGTACTGTAACCCATTTGTGCCAAATGCCAGTAAGATCTCCGTCCAGACCTAGTGTTGCTTTGGCCTCCAGAATGGCCGGAGTCTTTCTGCTCCTGGCCTTGAAGAAGGCCACATAGGCATGTTGCTAATATCTTATGATACGAGCCTTTCATCCTGGTCACATTCTTTGTCTGTTGAACTGGGTGCTTCTAGAAGTGTCCCCAGAAGTGTTCCTCAAAATGTATTTTCTTTCACTGAGTTCTAGGTCAGCTTCATCAGTGATTGGGGGTGCCGCGTGCTCTCCCCACTCTTTCCTGTGATAGACGTGGCTGAGGGCAGTGCTTTTCATGAAGCTGTTTTGTAGTTGCACTGATGGTTCAGGGCGGGAAGGCAATAATTCCTTCATTTGCCTTGATGCTTCCAGAAACATGGTGAGTGCTCGGAAGGGGAGGGGCCTCGCCGGCTGACTTTAGTGCTTTTCCTAGCAGTCTGGGAATCGTGTGACTGATTATTTTTGTTTTTCGTCAATTACTTAAAAATGGGGTTTTTTGGTGGGTCTTTTAATTGTCCTTTTGTAATAAACTTGTAAAGTAGATAAGGCTCTTAACTGTTTTTTTTTTAACTGTTCATTGTAATTTGAATGATTACAAATTTAAATTTGTTTTAAAAAAATTTGTTTTCTTTTCAGTAGTTCATAGACATTTTGTTTTATTGGAATTTGTGTATGAGTACGCCACATGCAGTGTTTGAACAGAAATTGATTATCATTTAAAAACCAAAAATACACCTACAGTTGGTTG